GTCTACAGTCATTTTGCACTGGTGTAAATGACTACAAATGGTGCAGGGAAACTGAGAATCAGGCTCAATGTATCAAATCCTCCTTTGTTATAATTCAAGGTATCCACAAAAAATGTCAAAATATCACATAGTTAAAATGTTTGGTGAAGTTTATAAGTAGCTAAGCTTTAGCAGCTACAGTTTTGAAGTATTTGGTTTGGATCAAGGTCCTGATTTCAGTGTTCTTTCTGTGTTTGTTTAATCAAGGCATTGAAATTGTTAAATATAAAATGCATACAGATATGTACCTACAGCCAGACTCCAATCAGTGCACTGCAACTCATAGGGAAAGCAAATGCTGCCAAAGAAATAAAATTTGCCTTTTCTCCCAAAAGCTCTCAAATCATTGAACAGCAGCCCCTCTGCTTAGCCAAGCAGGGCCCACCTGTGACCCATTCTGTTCACTGACCCTCCATGAAATACTTTGTCAAATTCAAGGTTTTGGTCTTTTCAATGTCCCCTACAGAGGAGTGGCCTAAGTTACCCAATAGACTGCTGATTCTGACCTGGCATGACAACTGCATACCATCAAAACAGTCTGCCACAAGAGTGAGGCTCATGTGGGCAGAATGGAGCTTTCTCCGCCACTAGCACTAGAATCTGGAGTGGACTCTTGGAAGAGATCCAGGTGACCTGAACCTCAGCTGCTTCTAAGCAAAGTGCAAAATCTACCACTTTGCCTTTCCACAAAAACAGCACGTTAAAATCAATAAACAAAGCCCAGTCCCTGCTGACTGGAAGGAAGAGAAACAGAAATATATCCTTATGTGTACACACACATTTTAGAATTTGGGGGATGTGCTCAGATACCATGATGATGGGAGCCATATGAAAACCCATGTGGGTGGATAGATAGAAATCATATACAGTGTATATAGTACCATTGAAATGCAACCATCTCTGGGATGGAGGACTGCAGCCAGCCAGCATATAGCACATCAGTGCTGGGGAGAGGGACTTTTGGTCAAAGACACCACAGCAAACATCTGCTCTTATGAAAAGAGCCACAGGATCTTTAATGACTACACAGATTAGATAGGACCTTGGTTTCGAAGGTCTCCCCCAGAACACACACACTCATTTCGTCTAATTTAGAAGGATGAAAGGCAGAATTGTTTCTATAGGGATTTGAATCTGTAATTCTAGGAATTATTACAGAGCAGATGCTTAGACCACTCAGTGACCTCCCCTGCCCGCCCACCTGAGCTCCTTGACCATGGCAACTAAAACTGTTGTGATTTCATAGCCACAAATTTTAAGTAAAGTGCAACTATACAAATGTCTCTGGGGAAGTCCACTGTCTTTTTTTTTCCCCCTTGAGACCACTACAAATGCATTTTCAAAATGCTGCTTTTGTCATTCTGGAGTGAAACCCCACTACAACTTTGCAGGATTTTCATTACCAGGTAGAAAAAAGACTCAGCAGGGGAAGAGCAGTGAGAACTACTTTCACTAGAATGAATCCAATTTTTTGTCAGGCTAACTCTTGCTGCTAGGGTCACTACCCTTTGACAAAAATGGCCTCTGACCTCGCCAACCTCACAATTCTGTTGTGACTGACCCTGAAACCCATGAAATTCAGGGGCAGACACTGCTTTGGAAGGTTTAGATAAAGTAACAAACATGGAAAGAGCTCATGGTATGCGCCCTCTGAAAAGGTCTGGCAGCTCTTTGGGGGAAGATGCAAATTATTCTGTCCACCTTTCATTGAAATCCTAATCTTTCATATGCTACCTAAGATGTAAACTGAAATGCACAGATGATAAATGACAATGTGCCTTCAAAGTGCCAGTAACTTTTTCTAGAGTCTATCTTTTAGGTTTTAATAAAAAGGTATGTAAGTAATTTGAACATTTTATTATTTTGGAGAGAGAGAGGTGTAGAAAGGCTTGTACTTTATTATATGGTATGTAGATAAAAAAACTATCAAAGGATTATTTTTGCTTAATTTCTTTAAGAAGGTACTATGAAGGTGATATGTTTGAGTAAAAAAAAAAAAATCAGATTAGTGTTTAGGCTTGGATTTTGTTCCTCTATGTCCCAAAGGTTGGATGGTGTTCTGATTTTGGGTTTCAGTTCAGCCCACTGTGGATCAAGGCCCTAATTAGACATTCAGATCCACATTTGGATCTGGATTATTCATACACACATGCACAAGATGTTCAGGAGTGTTTCTATTTGGAGGTCCATTAGTAATTGCTAATGCCCTGGCCTCAGGATATATTCAGCTATGCTATCAAATATTTGAGAGCGAGAGAGAAGTATTCTTCAAGCTTTCTAGGAGAGTGAGCACTCCTGGGAGTCAGGAAATGAGTCTGTGTTGAATAAGTAAATTCCTCTTGAGGGAGACAAGTAGCAGACCCCTCTGAAGCAATGTTTTATTGTTGATCACAAAATAGGCAATTTTCTGCAATCTGGACAGTACATTTTTATTACAAAATGCTCTGAATATGTAAAATACTGTTCAAGTTTGAAGTGGTTTTTTTATTGCTGTAAACCTATAGATGTGTATAATGCTTCACAAAAAAATATAGGAACACAAGATCTCTGCCCTTATGTTTTGAGAGCTCATCCTGAATTTTATGCACACCCATAACTCCTGTTGATATCAGATTGCCCTCTTGCTCTTTTAATGCAGCACGTGACATAGTGGGCAGGGGAGTGGAGCAGGGAGCTGGTTGTGACATGCTACCATTCTATGGCACTAATGCTAGTCAGGCCACTATAAACTCCCATCACATCATTAATCTATCTGCAAAAGGATTTACTGTGCATAGGCAACTTTGGAGAGCCAACCATGTTGTCACTTGAGAAGGAGAGCGTAATTTTTGTTTCTAAATGGAAGCTAAGATTCTTGCATAATAACATGAGTCCAGGAGGTGGGACTTGAGGAAAAACACCAACTATACTGAACTCTTGATAGTCACAAGAGATGGTAACACTGCAGGTATCAGACTTATCATTCACTGACAGTGACGCTGCTTTGTTTTCTTACTGTAGAGCTGTGGTTCTCAACCAGGGGTACGTGTACCCCTGGGGTATGCAGAGGCCTTCCAGAGGGTACATGAACTCATCTAGATGTTTGCCTAGTTTTACAAAAGGCTACATAAAAAGCACTTGTGAAGTCAGTACATAATAAAATCCCATGCAGACGATGACTTGTTTATATTGTTCTATGTACTATAGACTGAAATGTAAGTATAATAGTTACATTCCAATTGATTTATTTTATAATTCTATGGTAAAAAATGAGAAAGTGAGCAACTTTTCAGTAATAGTGTGCTGTGACATTTTTGTGTTTTTATGTCTGATTTTGGAAGCAAGTAGTTTTTAAGTGAGGTGTAACTTGAGGCTATGCAAGACAAATCAGACTCCTGAAAGGGGTATAGTAGTCTGAAAAGGTTGAGACCCATTGGTGTAGAGTGCACACAGAATTCAAAGACTGTCCAATTGTGTAGTGTGCATATTTGCCTCTTGCTTTTTATAAGTTTTTGTAGCGGCTGCCTGACCACCCTGACTCTTCAGCTGTTCCAGGCAGCTGTGGTGGCTCCAGCTTTTCTCAGGTGGTCACCAGAATATTTATTTTAAGCTTTATCTCATGCCCAACACCAATGACTGCTCTCTTCTTCAGCTACAGGCTAAGAGAAAGTCAAAAGAGACCTCCTTATCCGCCTTTATGGCTGGAACCTCAGGACACACCCTCCTCATGGCACTTGCCCACCCAGTTCCCACTTACATAGACTTTCTCACCCTTGGACAAAGAGTCAAGACATTGAAGTGGCATCTTTGTGCACTTGTATGATGGAACACATATGTTGCATCCGATGAAGTGAGCTGTAGCTCACGAAAGCTTATGCTCAAATAAATTGGTTAGTCTCTAAGGTGCCACTAGTACTCCTTTTCTTTTTGTGAATACAGACTAACACAGCTGCTACTCTGAAACCCATCATATACTAATGGCATATCACCCTATGTTGCAATATCGTCCTGCAGGGATGCAACCAGAATTTGCCTGGAGGGCAGGATAGAGCTCTCCCGCCCCCCCCCCCCGCAAGTTTTCTCCTCCTGTAACTCCCCCACACCCAGTTCTGAGCTGTCTGTCACCGTCACTTTGCCTCTAAACGCAGCTCCACGATCTCCACACTGCACCCAGCTCAACACTCCGCTCTTGAGGCCCGCTGTCCCACGCCTAGTGCCCAGTCCTGTGCTCTCTGTTACCCCCCACAGCCCTCCTGCACTAATGTAACTAACTCCATATGATTCGAGGGCATCAGCCCACACCGGGCCAGCGTTATGACCCCGGGGCACAGATGCTGCGACGTGCCTGTCTGGCCCATTGGGACGAAGGGCCACAAGTGGTAACCCCCATAGCGGGATCCGGTGTTTGCAGCCTCCTGCAAAAGGACATAAATGGTTGAGAGCCTGCGGCTGGGGCCGAATGCATGTTGTTATCAGCTGTATTAGCCACCACAGTAGGGACATGTCGTGATGACCATCGGGCCGCTGGGGAAACTGAGGCACGAAGGAGTTGCGGGGGACAAGACACACATTCACACACACAGCACGTCAATGCTTCCAGTGGAGACTGTGATAATTAAAGGATCTCTGCCCTCCCGCCCCCGCTAACTCCCCCATCGGCGCAGCCCCTAGGGACTACAACTCCCAGCATGCAACACATCCCGAACAGGCGGCAGGTCCCGCCATGCATGGCCGTGTTGCTGACGCACTGTACGCTGGGAAATGTAGTCTCTGCCAGCCTCGGCCTTGCCTGAGGGGGCGCCGGGGGCTTCTGCCCTGAACTGGGGAGGGAAATAGAGCGCAGCCAATAGGAACGACGAAATGGGCACGAGCCCGCCTCCCCCAGGCCCGCTCCAGCCAACAGCGACCGAACTCTCCCTTCGCCCCGCCTAGCCGGGTGGGGCCGGGCCGTTGGTTTCCAGGGCAAACGTGGCGTCATTGGCGGTGAAGGGTGAAAGGTCGGGGAGCAGCTGGCTGGGTGTTGGCTGCTGCTGGCGGAGGCGCTGCGGTGCCCGCGGCTCGGGAGCGCCCCGCAGGCATGGAGTTGGAGACGGCGCTGGAGGCCGTGAGGGGGCGCGGCGGGGCCGAGGGCCTCGAGCGGGTCCTGGGCCGGTACAACGAGAAGGTAACGCGCCCCCCGCCCCCTCCCAGGCCAGCCCCCCCCTCCCAGGCCTCGATATAAGCCACCGTCGCCACAGCCCCGGACCTCGGTATAACTCCCCCCGCCCCCGTTAGCTCCCCTCGTGTAACACCCTCGAGCTCCCCCCCCCCCCGCCCGGTGTGCTGCCCCGCTCGCGCAGCATCCCCCGCCGCCGCCGTGTAACTGTCACCCCCGCTTCCAGCTCCCCGGGCACAGCGCTGCCAGCAGCCTCCTCTGCGCCCCGGCACGCCCGCCAGCCCGCTTCCCTCGCCGCCCCGCGTTCGAACCGCGCTGACCCCCTCGTAACGCTCTCCCACAGACACCGCCCCGCGGGAGTGCTCCGCAGGCACCCGCGTAGCCCCCCGCGGCCCCCGTTACTCCCCGCAGCCGCCCGCTTCGTGACTCCAGGTCACGGGCACCTGTTATCTCTGTGAAATCCCGCCTTACTCCAGCTCCCCCTTTAACCCCTGCTTCCTGCTGACCCCTTTCCCTCGTGCATCCCTGTTCCTGCCTCAGATACCTTAGTATGTTCCCATTCTTTCCTGTTTTCTCCCGTAATCGTTGTTCTTTGCTGGAATGCCCCTGGCTACTGCCTGTAAACTCCCCCCCCGCCACCCTTTTTTTTTTAACCTTGTAAATTTCCACAAATTAACAAACACCAGTTATCTTTCTTAAGTGATCCCAAAATACACCTCCCTGAAATAACCCCCTTTGCTCCTTCACCTGGTCTTCACTCCTCTCATTTCATGTGCGTTCCGCCTTCTCTACCACAAATACCTTAGTTCTACTTGGGAAGATATGAAATTAAGCAACGCTTATGTGACTTTCTCTCTTGTTTTCCAAGTATGTGTGTGTATGTTGTGTCTGTCTATATGACACCCATGCAAGAAATCAAATCAACTGCAAGATCTTTTAAAAAAAAAAAAAAAAGTACGTGTGGCACCTTAGAGACTAACATCCGATGAATTGAGCTATAGCTCACGAAAGCTTATGCTCAGACAAATTGGTTAGTCTCTAAGGTGCCACAAGTCCTCCTTTTCTTTTTGCGAATACAGACTAACACGGCTGCTACTCTGAAACCTGCAAGATCTTTGTTACCCTCCTTCCCCACTCCAATCAAAATCGTGCAGTTACTGGTACTACAGGCTGATGACAGAGCTGAAAAAAATGGTATTATTTCTGAGTGGGGATTTTATTTTGTGAGGGATCAGTAATGAGGCGATTTCAGGGAAGGTTAATATTTACAAGTGTGTGATGATTTATAGCTTCTCCTCCTCCACTCCACCATTTGTCACTCCTTAGGTTTAGGGTATGCCATGTTTGTTCAGTGCCTAGCATGAAAGGGCCCTGATCTTGACTGGGACCTTTAGGCATTATCCTAATGTATAATTACACCGTAAAATAGTCTGACCTGAATGTCTCTTCACCTTGCCTAGGCTATAAATCACCATGCACTGTATGAATGCTAGGTTTCAGAGTAGCGGCTGTGTTAGTCTGTATTCGCAAAAAGAAAAGGAGTACTTGTGGCACCTTAGAGACTAACCGATTTATTTGAGCATAAGCTTTCGTGAGCTACAGCTCGCTTCATCGGATGCGTAAAAGTGGAAAATGCAGTGAGGATATTTTTATACACACAGACCATGAAAAAATGGGTGTTTATCACTTCAAAAGGTTTTCTCTCCCCCCACCCCACTCTCCTGCTGGTAATAGCTTATCTAAAGTGATCACTCTCCTTACAGTTTGTATGATAAACACCCATTTTTTCATGGTCTGTGTGTATAAAAATATCCTCACTGCATTTTCCACTTTTATGCATCCGATGAAGCGAGCTGTAGCTCACGAAAGCTTATGCTCAAATAAATCGGTTAGTCTCTAAGGTGCCACTAGTACTCCTTTTCTTTGTATGAATGCTGTATGACTATTAACCTTCCCTGTAATGTCCTCATTATTTATCCCTCACAAAATAACAGCCACGCTCAGAAATAAGAATACCATAACGATTTTTTTTAGCTTTGCCTTCAGCCTATAGTACCAGTGACTGCAAGGTTTTGATAATATGGCTGCAGAGTTGGTCAGGGAGTGGATGGGATTGCACTTGAGTCATTCCATTCCTTTCTCTTGGAAGATGGTGATGGGTAACTTCTCATCCACCTGAAGGACACTCTTGGCTAGGGTTCGCTTGTCACTCATCTTGCTTGGTGTATATGTGAGGCCACTGGGTGATGCGGAGACCATGTGGTCTGTGACTGCTGTCAGCATGTGAATAACATGGAGCGCTGTCTCTTTCATAAAATCCAGGAGACACAGCTTATTTAATTTGCTTGTATACCTGGCCAAAATAAGGGCATGAGTGTGCAAGAGAGCCTGCTGAAGCTCAGTTCAGAAGAGGCTGAGCTGAAGATGCTGGCAAGAAGCATCTAGTGGGTGGTTGCAAAGGGCATGTCAGCTTCCATTACCACAGGGGTATGCCCATGTGTAGTCAAGGGGCTTGGGGATATGTTTGGATTCCCTGGTAGCATGAGAGCCAGAAGTTTAGTTTTTCACTTGTTGGGCTAAATTAGGGGTTCTCAAACTTCATTGTACCGTGACCCCCTTCTGGCAACAAAAATTACTACACAACCACAGGAGGGAGGACTGAAGCCTGAGCCCCACCGCCTCAGAGGGGACAAAGCCAAAGCCCGAGTCCCTACTCCTCCGGGGGGTGGAGGGGCCAGCAAAGTCAAAGCCCAAGGGCTTCAGCCCTAGGCGGGGGGGCAAGCTGTAACCTGAGACTTGCTATCCAGGGATGAAACCCTCAGGCTTTGGCTTTGACCTCGGGGGCCTTGGGATTTGGTCCTGGGTGGTGGGGCTTGGGCTTCGACCCCAGCAAGTCTAACGCTAGCCCTGGTGATCCCATTAAAATCAAGTTGTGACCCGCTTTGGGGTCCCAACCCACAGTTCCATTTTTGTCTGATATGGACTTCATGACATTTAGATTGTTTTGGTGGTGTAAGGTTGCCAACTGTCTAATCGCACAAACCCAGACAGCCGTGCCCTGCACCTCTTCCAAGGCCCTGCCCCCTACATCTTCTCTTCCCTTCTTTCCCCCTCCCAATCGCTCACTCTCTCCCACACACTCACTCACTTTCACCAGACTGGGACGGAGGTTGGGGTTCAAGAGGGGGTGCTAGGGGTGGGGCCAAGGGGTTTGGAGTGTAGGAGGGGGCTCCGCGCTGAGCCTGGGGCAGGGCGTTGGGGTGCAGGAGGGTGTGCAGGGTGTGGGCTTTGGGACGGAGTTTGGGTGCAGGAGGGGGCTCAGGGCTGGGGCAAGGGGTTGGGGTGCGGCAGGCTCCCAGAAGTGGTCGGTCAGGTTCAGGGGTGGCCAGGCGGCTCTGTGTGATGCCCCTGCCTGCAGGTATTGCCCCCACAGCTCCCATTGGCTGGGAACCTAGGCCAATAGGAGTTTTTTGGAGTCAGCACACAGGGTGGGGGCAGGACACAGAAACCCCCCCTGGCCACCTCTGCGCCTAGGAGCCAGAGGGATGTAGTGGTTGCTTCCAGGAGCCACATGGAGCCAGGGCAGGTAGGGAGCTTGCCTTAGCTCTGCTGCGCCCTGCCGACCGGACTTCTAATGGCCTATTAAAATCTCCCGGATTGCTTTCAATAGCCACTGGGAGATCGAGGCTGATTCCGGGAGACTCCTGGCCAATCTGGGAGGCAACCCTAGGTGGTGTAGTCTATCTTTGAAGATCATTTGACATAAAAGTAGATGCCTTATTGTGTCAGACTGCTGTTACTTCAGACTTTGGAGAACAGCTGTATCTTCTAGCATGCTTTCGGATGCAATTAAAGGCTTATTTTGAACTCTAAATCTGCTAGATTTGAGTACTAGCTTCTTAAGTTGCCACCTCTTCTTTCTTGTGCTGTTGCAGCGGCTCATCTCAGCACAGTACCAGCTCAGTCTGAATCTTGGCCATAGCTTGTATCCTGTACCAAGGCTTCTGGGTGGCTTTGTCTGTTTTGTGCGGAGTAAGCTTTTCATTTCTTTACATTTCTAGCCCTGTGATTTGAAAGGAAAACCTTTATGAATGGGAATCAGTTCATGGTTGTCTTCCTAGGTATGAGATGGATAGAAACGTATCTCAATTTCTTATTGAGTGATGTTTAATGATGACAGTAGCAGTTTTACTGTTGATTATTTTAGCAGAAGCCTCCAGCTACCTGGGGTTTTGTTGGAGATTGAGCAGAGTATCTCGGCATGTTCTTGCCTAATTGCTGATAGACTTGATTGTATCCGTTAGGGCTACTGTCAAGGTATCACCTGTGTGTGAATTTCTGCTCTGGAATTCACTTGCCTGTGGCCCAACAGAGGTTTTAGATAACTGTCACCTGAGGTACGGGGGTTTGTGCCTGAGGGGCAGACTGCAGGAATGTAAGGCCGAGAACTGTATTTTTGTTAAATTCTGTATATGCAATCAGTGTCTGAATGCACATAAATATCTAATACTTTCTCTGTTTGTCCCCCTCCATTCTCAACAACCCCACCCAGCAAAAAATCCCTCACTTGGTCAGACATGCCAACCCCTACTCATTTGGGGCAGGGAATGGCTTGGGAAGCTTTCCTTAGTAGGATTTAGCATGTAAGCTGTGGTTAAAGTTTCTCCTTCTGATGACTGGAGGTTTTGCTGTGTATTCCAGAAAAACTTGGGCTGCAGGAATGAATCTCTAAACATGTTCCCAATCTGACCCATCCCCTGCCTATTATGGTCCTTACAAAGAAGTCTTACCACAGTGTTTCTGTGTCTCATTTATTTATCCTCTAAGGCATAATCAGGCAGAAGCAGAAAACATCGCAGTATCTAGGTTCCATTACAAACTGATAGTTAGCTAGATTTGTTAAGGCACGTGAAAAAACAACCTATTACCCTGGGCACACTTTTCAAATTTTTAAGAAAAGAAAACCCAGCAAATTCTAAAAGCAGCAGATAACTTATTTCTTTAATAGAAGGACCCAGTTCTGTGTGTCTAACTTTTAAGAGTTGTTTCTTGGTGGTTGCAGATGGCTGTTTAAAAGAGCATTTATTTAGATGCTCATTCCTTCTCTTCCCACTCCATGGCCCCATCTGCCATGGGCACACCAAATGTGTGTTTTCTCTCTTGCTCAAAGATACCTTACCCCCAGTAAAGGTTTCTCTAGTCTTTTCAAGGCGTCGTATCAATAAAAAGATACTGCCAAGGTCTGGGCCCCTTTCTTTCACTCTGACATCTGTGATGAGGAGGTGGTGAACTCTTCCCATCTAGCCCTAATAGATGTTCTGCTTGGGGGAGTCCCACTTAATACTGAGCCAGATTTTGTTTCCTAAAGACATATCCAAAGCCTGTCCTCTGCGTCTTCCTACCCAGAGACTTTCTGCTGGTACCTTCATGGTCATTAAGTGTAGTTAAAAACAGCTACCACAGCTTTACAGATTCTTTTTACTCCCCTCACATCAGACCTGCCCAACAATGCAAACAGTAAAACAATCCTCATCTGACCTTGAGAGCCTGTTACTTGAAGAGACTGATGCTGATAACTTTTGATAGTGAGTCCAGATAGTGACGTCTAGTCCAGTTTTTGCCAATGTAGGTGCATGCTTGGTGCCGTGCAAGGGAGAGTGCCTGTAGATAAGCCATGTAAGGCAGTCATGCTTGACCTTTGGATCATTTGTATGAAAGGTAGCAGCTTGTCATTTTTTCCTCTTATGGTGTTAAAGGACAGAGATAGTAAAGATCAACGTTCACTTCATTAGATAAAATTACATAGCTTAGCAAGAGTCTTACACTCTATTGCTTTCCATCTCTTTTTAGCATTCTTAAAGACCAAATATTGTTAAATAACTAATTGCTGTTCTCAAGTTTAAAAAAAAAAATTCTAACAATATTTTTTGCCACTTGAGTGCTGATTAATACAGTTCAGAATTTTCTAAAATGGAACTAATGTCCATCACTAGCTCAAGTTCTGTGAGACCACACCTTCCTCACACTTAATTGTACCCATAACAAAAGAACACTAGGTAATGCATTTAGACAACCAGTAAAAATTAAAAATTGAAGAAATACATCAACAGATCTTGTACTGTACTCACTTTTATTTGAATCAGCATTTTCTGGATGAATTATTTTAAAAATACCCAAACTGGGAAAATCAACCTAAAACAGAATTTCCCAACCTACAAATGAGATGCACCACTTACGTTTGTAAAGCCTGAGTAACTAAATAGCCTTGCTGATTTACACATGGAACTAATCCTCAACACCTGTATAAGGTGAAAAGATGGAGATAACTGCAGTTTCCCTTGTGTGTAAGTAGGTATTATCTTGCTGGCCTGATTCCATTGCCCATTGAAGTTTGTGACAAAAATATCCCTGATTTCAATGGGGTCAGTCTTTGGCCCTAAGTGACTTGGCCATGACAACAGAGGGAGTAAAGGTTAGCACTACATAGCTCCAGGATCCAGGCTTATACTACAACTATAGAGGTAATTGGGGAACAATTTAGAGGCACTTATTGCAAGCTTACTGTAGCCTCACAGTTGGATGCAGTGAGTTAGATTACATGATTCAAGAAAGTCCTTTGCACCATATCAACTGAGATTCATGTTAAAACTGTGAAATTTGTTCTAATCAGATTATGGCAATTATTTTACATTTAATTTATTTCTTTCCCCAGAATAGGGCCACTTTCAAATTTGATCCTGCAGATGAGGACAAAAGAAAGGTAAGCAAAACAAACCTTTCTACTTGTGCATGCCCCCTTTCAGGCAGTCTTTCCTTTGCTCTGTGTTGTTTAGAGTCCACTACCACTGAGGTGATACAACTGAGTGTAGTTTGTCACGCTATGACATACATGTTTTGCCTTGCTGTGCTGTCAGAAAAAGAAACTTAGAGTTCCAGAAGAACTGATAAAGAAAAATAACAAAAGAGCTAAGTAATCTTGTTGGAGGTTCTGATTAGGAAAAATAAATTAAGGGACCACTAACTCAACCGGAGGAAGAAGCAAATGGAATTCCCCATTCTTGGAAGACTTGGGTTAGTAGAAAATTTTTCATTTCCCATTCATCAGACAAGACATCTGCCGACTTAGTGAGTACACAATACCATTTTTCTCTCCCAGGAAATGAAGAGCTGTCAGACTGATGTGCTTCTCAATACACCATTCTGAAAGTTTTGTGGCTTCTTGAAAAAGATGGTCTGATCTCAACCTCTGTCTGTATAATATGTAACTGTAGAATTGTCCATGAGAACTTGGATTGAAGAGTCCTTGATGAAAAGCAGAAAGGTTTTGCAAGCTAATCTCACGGTTCTCAGTTCTAGTATGTTTTATGTGAATCGTAGGTTCTAGACATGACCAGAGGCCACGAGGACAAAAGTAATATCTGCATCCCAGCCTGTTTTGGATAAATCGGTTATCTGAGCTTCAGACATGACTAGAGAAGCAAATAGAATTCCCACACATACATTTCCCTTTGTCTATCATTCCATCAAGGCTCCAGGATTTGATCAGGAATCAGTACTTTTAATGACAAATCATTGAGTGTTGGTTTCTAAGGTGACTTGATCCATGCTTGAAATGGTCTGACACATAATCTGGCAATTGGATTTACAAACATATACGAAGCCATATGGCCTAAAAGTTTTCAACTCTTTCTTATTGTAGGCAGAGGGTAAGTACAGATGTGAAGGATAAAATTTTTTTTATTTGAAATACTTTCAGTAGAAAGAATGTCCTCACTGCTTCTCAACCTAGAATTAATCAGAGGTCTCCTATAGACCAGAACAGATCCAGATTTGACTTTGTTGATCCCCAAACCCAGAGATAAAAATAAATTAATCACTTTGCTTGCTGCTGCTATGACTTGCATTCGTGACTTCTCCTTTACAAGCCAATTGTCCAGATAAAAGTAAATGTACAATGCTTATAAGCATAAATGAGCTGCTAGTCCTGCTTCATAAACACCTGCAGTGTCAATGACCTTCTGAAAGGAAGTGCCAGAATGGATAATGACTCCCCAGAGCCATAAAACTTTGCATTTGTGAGTGCACTTGCACATCAAAATAAATGTCCTGCAAGTTGAGGGTAATGAACTAATCCATGGTATCTAGTGCTGGGATAATTGAAGTGAGAGCTACCATGTGGAATTTGGTGTGTTGAATGTATTTAAGGTTCCTGAGGACTAACTGTATGTTTGGTATGAGGCAATAAAGAAAATAGAAGCCATTCTGATGTACTAATTCTAATGCTCCTAGCTTCATGTGCTGATTCTAATGTTCCTAACTTGATGAGGTCATCTATCTGCTGGCATGTGGCATTCTCATGAGAATAGTCCCTGAAAAGGAACTGGGAAATGGGGAGGGAAGGAAGAAAAGGTTTGAAATTGAATGGCATAACGATCCTTGCCTACTTGATGGACCCATCAATCTGTGGTGAATGGCATCCAAGCCTGCAGGAAAAAAAATAGACAGGAATCAGAGTGTGAAGTAAAAGGGCATAGATCTTTGTTAGATTAGTACAGACGCTCCCCGGGTTACGCAAGACCTGATTTATGCAAATCTGCGCTTCTGGAAGAAGCTCCGTAAGCTAGAAATAAAGAGTGTTTTGGGGTTGTTTTTTTTTGTTTTTGTTGGCGTAATGTCAGATATATGTTTCTGACTTACACAAAACTCGAGTTACGCAAGGCGTTCCGGAATGGAACAATTGCATAAGTCAGGGGGAGTGTCTGTAAAAGATCCTTGACCACTGCTTATCAATGTTAGAACTGAACAGATTCTGACCATTTGAATGGCAAGTCTTCAATTGCTGCTTGAACTTCTTTTGGTAAAACTTAAGGCAGATAACCATGACTAGTGTTGCATTACAATACCTGTAGCCATTGAACGAGCACCAGAATCGGCAGCATCTAATGCAGTTGGGCTGCGGATTGTTGAATATCAAATAGTTTATATGCTTTTTCCTGAACTATATCCAAATGAAGTGTGTGTGTGTGTGTACTATATGCTTCAGTAATTCCTGAAAAGTTTTAAAATTATCAGGTGAAAGTGGAGTAGCCTGTGCAATGATTTCATCAGGTAAGAAAGAAGAATCAGGTATAGGATCAGAATGATTGTCCTGATGAGCAGGTATTTCATCATCACTTAAAATATGTTGTTCCTTTGTGTCTTGAACTAGACAAGGAAAATGATTAGAACTGAGAGTCTGCAGCCTGTGAGTCACGAATAGTTCCCATATATTGTGGGAGAACTTGCTCCTGAAATTATGAGTATTGTGGCCATATGGAAAGAGATGTGGCCAATTCAGAGGAAACCAAGGAGCATAGTGAGAATGAGCATCTTTAGATGTAATAGGAAGCTTCTTCTCATTATTATTTTCTCTCCGTTGATATTTCTTTTTAATGGAAGACTCCTGTCAGAAGCTGCAGAGGAATTGGTGTCTTTGGCTGAAGAAAACTGATGCAGGAACCATGACAGGAGACTGAAAGATAAAAGTGGGACTTGCATCCTTTAATTTTACTGATGTGTTGCTTCAAAGAAGTTTTCATAACTGGTACCCTTGTTTCTTTTTGTGGAGGGCTCAAGTTACAGTCCCCTCTCCCAGGGATGAAGCCCTTGGGCTTCGGCCCCCTCTGCCTGGGGCAGCAGGGCTCTGGCTTCGGGCTCGGGGTGCAGGGCTCAGGTTTTGGTCCTCCCCACCCAGGGTCACGTAGTAATTTTTGTTGTCAGAAAGGGGTCGTGGTGCAACAAAGTTTGAGAACAGCTGATTAAAGTTTCCCTCTGCAGTTGCACTGGAGCTGATGTTGAGTCAGAACTATTCAGTCCTTGGAAGCAGGACTGTTTTGATGGATCTTCCTGAGTTTGCCTCAGCTGCTTCCTGGCCCGTGAGTTTGGTGTCACAACTTTGATAGGAGAATTGGAAGACTGTCTCAGGAAAGAAGAAGCTTTTGTCTATGGTCAGAGCCTAACATAGCTTTCATGTTTTTTTTGTGGCCCCTTCTCCCCCCCCCCCCCGCCCCCCGAGGAAAAAGGTTCAGTCTAGACTGCTTCTCCCTTTGTGTCCACTTCTTGAAGGGTGTGAAAATGGTACAGTTATCTGGGATAGCTGGGAGTTCCTCAGCCATGACATATGCCTTTATTGTCTGGGTATCAGTGAGAGGAATATTTCCTTCTCCCCTGGTCCCGCCCCCCCAGGATTGGCATGATTTAAAACCTGGGAATTTAGGCTCTACCGAAAGCTGCACTCCTTCTTTTTTTTTTTTTCCTAACCTGCTGCTAACTGAAACAGTAAAAAGTAACCAACTATAAACAAACTGTTTACTGAGTATTTAGGCTGGAAGTTAATCAATAATACAGATGGACACTGGTGTTCCAACTCATTACTTAAAGCAGTTTGAAGGAACTGAATGGAGGTTGAGGTTGCTGTACACTTTATTCCCTGGGGACAGGGTGAGGAGGGGTGGTGGGAGCACATGCATGACCGCTATTAGTCACTGCTAGAGAAAACATTCTGAACTGCTATTCTGGGGAATGTGGACACCATAAGTGGGTGCAGTTATTCAAAGAACCAGTTGCCATGTGCAGTTACTTGAAGAACAAGAACATTCAAGGAAATTAAGGCTCTCAAACTTCATTGCATTGTGACCCCTTTCTGACAAGAGAAATTACTACACAACCCCAGGAGTGGGGGACTGAAACCTGAGCCCCACCATGCAGAATGGGGGGCCAAAGCAGAAGCCCAAGGGTTTCAGCCCCAGGCAGGGGGCCTATAACCTGAGTCCCACCACCCAGGGCTGAAACCCTCTGGCCTCGGCCTGGGCAGTGGGGCTTGGGCTTCAACCCTAGGACCCAGCAAGTCTAATGCCAGCCTTGGCGAACCCATTAAAATGGGGTCCTGACCCACAGTTTGAGAACCACTGATCTAGACCACTTATACAGGAACAATCTAGCTTCATGAGTCAAGCGCACAAATGGATTCCAAGGCAATATGTGAATTTACCCAACACATAAAAGCTAGAAAAAGGTATTTTTAGTATCAGTATAGTGGGATGTTTAAGGGTACAGTGGGCTTAATATCCAACATACTTCCACTTAAAACTAGATTTGGTACCTGAAGATGTTAATTTCTAACTATCAAAGTTGTTAATATATATTGCAATCTTAATCATAGTTCTAAACTATATAAATAAAAACCTAACAAAAACAAAATGGCTAAGATGACTTGACATATCTATGAATAAATAACACACAGTTCTATTGAAAATGTTTTAAATATATTGTGACTACTATATACACTGACATTCTAGGTCTCTATATAAACTCAACTAAAAATCAAGAACTTTAAATAATACGCAAGTCCCTCTATATAATTAGTTCTCTGATTCCCTTCCTGTTGACTTGGCTTCTGTTCCATGCTCTCAGTAATTTTCTGGTGGTGTCTCGTCTTCCTTCATTCTTGACATCTTATATAACACCCTTCCTTTTAACTGTGAAACTTGTTTCCAGCTGTTCATCTAAAAGCTTGTTTAAATTATAAGGATTCAGATATTCTTTTAACTTGTGGTAGCATTGCATGATTTGAAACTATAACCTGTAGTCCTGTGGAAGGGATTGTTAAAAGTGTATTAAGTGATTGCATATTCAAATATAAGCATCCATGTTCGTCACCAAAATTCAAATAACTGCAGGTATGTTTGTATTGATTAGCTCAGATAACTTTAGAAGTGTTAA